TAAAGAACATCTCTAGCAAGAATGGAACAGGCATCCCTTATTCTCAAAAAAGCTTTTCCTTAGCTGTCCTAGTCCTAGTTAATCCAACTCACAACCCATTCATTCATTATAATTTACACATTTACCACAAGAATTTATCCATCACCTCCAATCCTACATACACCCAAATACAACATACTTGCAGGGGAACCTACAAAACACCCCATGACATAAAAATTTTAAAGTCCATAAATATATATAAATAAAAATCTCATGATTCATGAAATGATGGGGGAAAGGAGATGAACCCCAATAACAAACTCAAAAATTAAACAAAAGATACAACTAAAACAAAACAATGTTAGTAGGAACTGTCCACCCTCTCAAAATAATAAGAGAGGTCACTGTATTCTGCCACTAGACAGAATCAAGCAGCGCACTCACTAATGGGATGGGTATAGTAAAATAAATGATAGAATGGGGAAATCAAAGGCTGACTCAGCTGAGATAAAAACAGGGGACAACAAAAAACTGGGGAGTTTGGGAATCTCGACATGGGTCATAACAAAACAGAGTACCGGGAACAGGCCGGGAACAACAATCATACTCATTAACTAGGAAAACAAAACAGCATTAACTTAACCAGGGGAGGGTTCATAGGAAACCATCCTTTGCATCAAGGGAACTTAGAAGAGAAAATCAAGGCTAGCCCCGTCCACACGAACCAGGCTCACCTCAGTCACCCATCTTGCTCTGAAATGTGTCGAAAACAGACGCTTATGATCAGATCTGATTTTTACCCTAAGCTTAAAGAAAACAACAGATCCTGATACAAATAACGTTCATTTCGCAAGATTCCCTCCTTTCCACACCATCATTCTAGCCACAGCTAGCAACGTGAAAAACACCATCCGTTTTACCCTGGGGGACGGGGGCGAAGCATTGTCGCACGCGTACACAAGATTAATGGACACGAGCTGCTCAGGAGCGATACGAGCTGTCAACTCGCCGACATACTCCCAGAAGGGGCGCACCTGAGGACAATGGTAGAAGGCGTGCACAGCCGTTTGTACTAAACCAAGGTCACACCGATGACAGTCTGGCAAATCTGCCTGGCCCCATCTGAAGAGAACGTCATTGAGAGGTAGCACGTTCCGAATCAATCGCCAGCTAAGCGAAAACTCAGTGTTACTGAGGTAATCCGCCGCTTGCGCACAGGACCACAAAAAGCGCAACTCTGATGCCGACAAGCCGAGCCGGTCACACAGAGGATCCTTCGCGACCCCCTCCACTAATTCATGATACAATAGTCTCCGACGTCGAGAAAGGTCACTGAACCGAGGAATGGTCGTCAAGGCCGACTGACACTCGCTGAGGAAACTCGATAACCTTCCACAACCGCGACGGCGCTTACCCCAAGAAATGGGAGGAGTGATGGTAAGGCTAGAAAAAGGCGTCCCTAACACCCGGCGCCAAAATCGAGTCCTCCGGCAAAACGTGGCGTAGGAAAGGTGACTCGCCAGGAATTGCAATACCAGCCCCCAATGAAACGAACGCTGATAACAGACTTCTTTACGGACACAATGTTTGCGACCACCCCACAAAAAGTTGGTCAACAAACGCTCGATCACATCCATACGAGTCTCGCAAAGAGGAACTACAGCCAAGCGGTAAAGGATGAGGGGCAAGACGTAAGTGGCACATGCCTCAGCCCAACCCTTTAAGGACAACCTCCTTCAGAGCCAAGTCTGGACCAACACAGCAACCTTTGACTGTACTTCTGACCAATTCTTCTCCAGCTGGAGCCAGGGCCTGAACCACACTCCAAGAATGTGGATGGGTTCATCAGTCCAACCAAAGGGCCCCGGAAGCGCGACCCCTTCCAGGCACCTAACCGCAAGCCGGAAGACTTGTTACGGTTAATCTTGGCCCCTGTCACCTTCTCGTACCGTTCAAGCGCCTTCTGTACCACCTTAATGTCGCGACGGCACGACACGAAAATGGATACGTCATCAGCGTACGCAGAAACCCTAGCTCGAGCTCTACCAGGGAAAACGGCGATTCCGCGTAGGGCCGGACTGCACGCCCTGTCCCTCAGCCGGCGAAGGAGAGGCTCCAACGCCAAAGCATAAAGTAAGGGCGACAGCGGACAACCCTGTCGGACCGACCGTGACAGCGCAAAAGCGCTCGACCGCTTCCCGTTCACCTGTACCACAGCACTGGGGGAGCGATACAGGAGGCTGATCCACTTGCAGAAGTCGGGTTCGAATCCGGCGGCCTGCAGGACAGCAGCCAGGTACTGATGGTCTACCCTGTCAAATGCCTTGGACTGATCCAAATTGATCAGCGCGGCTTGCTCGTCGTCTTTTACTCCCTCTATGATCGTGCGGATCAGATGCAGGTTGCTTTGAATTGTTCGTCCCCTCACAGCACAAGTCTGCTCGGGTCCCAACAAGCTCGCGACAACTGACTGCAAACGCTCCGTCAGGATCTTTAACTCTGTGTTTAGCAGAGTTATGGGCCTATAATCATCTAAATCCCTCCCAACACCCTTGACCCTTTTTCAACAGCGTGATCACACCCCTGGAAATCTGGTCGGGGATGGACCCCTGCCGGAACCAGTTGTTGAACACCACTGTCAAAATCGGGACAAAGATGTGCGACAGCCTCAAGTACATTTCGTAGGGCAGACCATCAAGTCCCGGAGACTTGCCTCTGCCGACCTTCTTCAGTGCCAAGTGAACTTTGCCCTCTGTGATCTCACCCTCGCAGCTAGCCGCTTCAGTCGGTGAAAGCCGAGGAAAGTCAGCTGCGAAACTCGTCGCCACTGAGACCAGGCTCCTTGGTAAAACGGCTCTCGAAATGCTGCCGAAACGCCTATCACATATATTTGTTCGGCCTCAGAGTACGCCCCTCCGGGGTAATGACCTCACGAATGTATCGATCGGAACCTCGACGGATCTCTTCCTTGCGCAATTCTGCGCCCATGTTCACAGCTTCGTTAGACATCTTGTTTAACCTATGTCTAACTACCTGACCCTGATAGCGCTTGCTAGCCTCACGCTTCAGGGCCTGCCTAGCTATGGCTATCTCTAGGGAATCCCCCCAGCCACCGCCCGGGACAGACTATCCTCTAGAGTCTTCACCTTTTTAGCCTTATCTAGAGCGAGTCGTTGGCTATATTCAGTGGTGAAGGACCTAATCCTATCCTTAAGCCTCTCCCACCACCTACTCCCAATAACCGCCCCCACTAATTCCCGCTGCACTAATCTAGTCAGCTGTTGCTGAAAGTCCCGCCTGTCCAGTAAGGACAGATTGAACTTCCAGTGTCCAGCCATTCTAGGCCTACTACCTAACACCATCCGGGCACAGACGAGTCTATGATCCGAATAGTCTAAACGGTGGAACATGGGACAATCTAGTAAATCTAGGTCGACCCTTTTGATTAACATTCTATCCAGGTAGATGGCTACGTGGAGGGATGGCCAATTACAGGCCCACGTCCACATCTCCCGCCCCGGATGATCGACCCGGTATCTATCGACGAGCACAAAACTTCCATCAGGTCAACCAAGCTACGATCAACCGTTGCCTTCCCGCTAGCACTTGACCCCTGTCTATCTTGGGGTTCAGGATGGCATTCCAGGCCCCATTAAGACTAAGCGCGAAGAATCCACCAGGAACGGCCCCAACTGACGGAAAAAGTCGACACGCTCCCCATGATTGTTGGGCGCATAAACCGCAACGACCCGAAACGAACCACTGTTCACGGCAATATCGGCCACGACCAACCGGCCCTCCGCGTCCACATGCACAAGGTCCACCCTCGTCTCCAGAGAACGCTTGACTAACAAGGAAACACCTCTGGCCTGCCGGTCCCCGTATGCTGAATAGACGACAAAGTCGTTAGACAGCACACTGGCATCGACGTCGCAAACAAAGTGTATCTCCTGGATCGCGGCCACATCTATACCAAACGACAAGAAATCACGAAGCAGGCGGGCTGCCTTACTCCGATCTCTCAAGCCGTTCACATTCAGGCTAGCTAGCTTAATAGACATCTTTTAAGTTGGAGTCCCTTAGACACAGACTGGACGGAAATCTATGGCAGTCGGAACCCAGACGGTTTGTCCCATACTACCGGTACCAATATCGGTCGTAATTCGACCGTCTGAGACAATCCTGCCGACGTCCGTTGGGAAGGTTAATTTTATAGCCCTATATAAGGAGGGGTGGAGCAAAACGGGGACCCTCCCAGAGCAAGTTCTGATTTTTTCAGTTCTGATGTTTCTGATGAACCATCCTGAAGGTGCATTTTTTGCCTCAGCCAGGTACTCCCACGCCTTGCCACCCGTATATCTTATGAATATAATTACTCCAGGGGCCTTTCGGAAATGGACTGGGGTCTTCTGTGGACTTTCCATCCACATTGTACATTTAAAAGTGGCCTCAATAAGGCCTTCCTCTGAGAAGAAAGGTCCCTCTCGAGGGCCTGACTGTCTATTACACATAGTTTTTCCCCTCTGGAAACAGTTTTTTCTTTTTTTTTCCTCTTTTCTTCTCTGTCTTGAGTAGTGTTAGGGGTGCAGAGGGAGAAGACGGAGCTCTAGAAGGGGGGAAGGGAGGCTCCTTGCCTTACCTTGGTGGTGATGCCGTCATTTCCAGTGAAGCAGGAACGGATTGGGTCTCAGCAGCTACCAGGGCCTTCTCCGCCCTACTCCGACCAGAACTCTTTTCCCTTTTATCGTCTTCCTCCTCGTAATCCCTCCCTCTTTTCAGTGATGGGGGTCGCGGTGGGGGCACTTCCTCCACCTCCATGAAGAGATCCAGCTGTGGTAAGTCCTCCTGTGGCTGGATAGTCTGCTTTTTCATGGAGCTCCTGCTCCGGTTGCTGCTCTGTCTGCTGCCGTTGCTTGGGCTGCTACTTTTGTTGCAGCTTCTCTAGCGAATTCCGCTGTTGCCGCTCCTTCTCCACTGCCGCTGCTGCTTCAGCTCCTGTTGTTGTTGCTTCTGCTGATTAGGCTGCTGCTATTTCTTAGCAGCTCCTTTTCCCGGGACATCCTGCTGTGGAGGCGGAGTTGTCGCTTTGGCTCACCTCCTCACCACTTCAGTCCATTCGCTGGAGGCCTTCTTTGGAACATCCGCCTTGGGTTGCTCAGTTGTTGCTTGAGGCTGTGGTGCCGGGTTTCTGTTCGGACACAACTTTGGTAGGTGACCGACGGCACCACAAACCCAACAGCTTGGACGACGACCCTCCACAATGACGTAAATATTCCTGCCGCCACAGGTAATGATGTTGGGGACCTTATTAAATTTCGTCACCATGACTTCATAATCACTGGTGGTAATGCCCGGCTTGCTTCTGATAGGGGATATCCCCTCCACAAGGCCATAATCATAGAAAAAGGCCCCCAGATGGTCTTCTGAGTGCTCATGTATACTGTGTGCAATCTGAGTGTCTTTGTGGAGAGGACATTGCCAGCTAATGTTTTTGCAGCCTCCTGTTGCAAGCAGGATGTCGCTCATGGTATTTGACCTACGGGCTAAAACTTTGGCCTCAATGTTCAGGGCCTTGAGGGCCCCTCTCCATCGTCTTCCTGCTGACAGTAATAAACTTGCGAGTTTTGTCAACAGGGAGATGGTCCTCGTTGTAACTGCCTCCATAACTGAAGGCACATGTAAAAGTTCATGGCCTGAGATGAATGAATTGTATCAGGCCCTTCTAATAAGTAGGTCCTTTTTTTGGTTTCTCCGGCACCCATGCTGACGGTGCTGTGGATGTTGTGCCCAACGGCTCTTTTTCCTGGGGTACCTCCGCCATGGCGGGAGGCTAATTTCCTCACGAAAATAACAAATAAAAGAACAGAAAATAAATCACAAAAAAACAAGGCACAAAAAAAAAAAAACACAATTACAAAAAGTCTCACTTACTAAACGTAATGCGCAAACAAAACTTTCCGACTAACGTCCAGCCGACAGACGAAAAAAAAACCAGGGTTGTAACTCAATACATTTCCGGTCCGAGTTAACTCCTCCTTAATTTCCTAACTATTCACTAGGGTACGCTCTCCCTACATTGGGCGATTTCTTGCCTCGTTCTCTTTTTACTTTGCATTTCAGCGGACACATTTAAAAATGTGATCTCTCACAGAGATCTGCATTTTACCCACTTGTGGGAAAACGCTATGAAACACACATACACGTACATACGAACATTCACCAATGTAGAAACTCTTTGCGTTCACATACAAACACAAATGTTAATGCCTATGTCCATTGTAAATTTTGTTGTTTAGTATATATATATATATATATATATATATCGGTCTTCTTGGTTTTCTTTTCACTTCTTTATGGTGGATTCAATCTCAGATTCCACCATGTTCTTGTAGTGGACCTTCTAACAGGAATAAACGCACGTATTTCTAATTTAACAACACATAAACCCACGGCCCGCTACATTCATCTCTTGAATAGCCACAGTATGCTGGATATTTATTGTGCACAATATCCACACTGGAATCATCAGCCAATCAGAACTTACAAAATAGGCTTGCCCGCGTAACAGAATGGAATTTCCCAGGTTGTTATATAAACCACCTGTCGGAGTTAACTCCTCCTTTAGTTCGTTAACCCTTTCACCAGGGGTCTCTCTTCGCTGCTATAAAAAGCCGCTGACCCTTCGCCTCTTTCTCTTTCTCTCTCAGGCCTTCGCGTCAACACCTGGAGGTAAATCTCTCTTTTTCCTCAGGCTTTCAGCTTACAACCTCGAAATGTAGGCGCTAACAAGGGATAGCGTTTCTCAAAATGCTGGGAACACGCTAAGCACACACACACGCACATACAGAATATTCACACACACACACACTTTGTCCTTTGTAACTGTTTCCGTATAACTTATTATTAATATATATTTGTATATACATATATTATCGGTTTTGTGTTTTGTTTGTTTTCTTTGCCTTCTTCTTTGGACTTAATTCAAGTCCAACCTTTTCATGTAGTTGGACCGGCGAGCAGGAGAATCTGAACCCCACATGTGTTTCTTCTGCGTCTAACTCAACGACATAACAGCCACGGTCCTCTACACACCTACCAATTTGTCCAGCAGATTATCTTGGTCAGTCAGGATTGTCAACTTTGCGTTTCTTTGAAGTAATTCGTCAGTTCGAAGTAAGTGTTAAATTTGGTCCACGTTTGTTTGTATTGTATTTAGTTTTGGTGTGTTACGTAAATTTCTGCTCGTCATATTCTTGTTTTTGTGTTGTTTGTTTAACGGTGTCGTGGGAACCCCAACACTATGGCGCAATCCCAACTCCAAGAGGTGACACTCACGCCAGCAAGCCCTTCGGTGTGGGCAGGTGACAAACCAGCCCCGAAAGGACCTAAATATTACAAAAGTCTCACGGAGAAATTTGAGAATTTTATCAAAGAAAATGAGCTGTTATGAGTGCCATCTTTGCTTGACTCGGTGAACACCAAAATTATTTCCTTTTTGACTACAGAAGTCAACTCGTCAACTGATCGGCGTCAGCAGGGAGATCATGGAGGAAGCAATTAAGAGACTGAACATTGCGGTCAAAATTTTGGTCAGAAGAAGTAGAGCTATGTGGGATATTTTGCTGGCATCAGATGACACGGCAAAGTCACTAGTGGGTAACATCATGACAACCAAGTCGGTGAGGCTCCAGACGGAGTACCTTGGAACCAGGAAGACGAAAGTAATACTACATGGAGTGCACCTGTATATTTTGCTCGACCATTTGGGATTTTTCTTTTCCAAATTCGGCAAGGTTGCCAGGGATAAGGCCGGTATAGCCGCTGAAGACGTGGAAGTGATGGTTTCCCGGAAAAATTTTGTGGCGATTCCCAATGTATTAATGTATGAAGGTCGCCCCATCTACGTGGCGGTTGAGGGCCGAAGAACGCTTTGTTGGATCTGTGGGTCCGCCGGTTATATGTCCAAAATGTGCCCTGGGAAGAGGCCGGAACCGCAACCTGACAACTGCCAAGCAAAGCACTGACACAAGTGCAAAAGTAACGGAAAAATGTCTTGGAGAATGGACGGAAGTAGTGAAGAGGGGGACGAAAGTTACATCGCCCTAGAAGAAAACCAAACAGCCCCTTCAGAAGCAGAAATGCGACCAGCATCATCAGCAACAAAAGGATGAACAAAAGAAACCCCAATTGGAGCAGGAGTGTCAGCTGGGGCAATAGCAAGAAAAGCTACAGGAAACGCAACAGAAGGACCATCAATTGGCGCAACCACAAGAGGTGAAAATGGAGGAGATGCCCCCGCCACGGTCTGCCTCTTTAAAAAGAGGGAGACATGAGGAAGAGGAAATAGCGAGCAAGAAAGAAAAGAAAAAAGTCTTGGACAAAATCAAGTCCCACTCCGTCCCCAGTCAAAAAATCGGATGACAATGCAGCAAGGAGCCTTTCTTGTTCCTCTGTTAGGGCTCCCCTTTCCCCACTTCCCAAAACTCCTCCAGCTAAAACCGCTCCCCCTATAAACCCCGTCGCCCAACACTCGTCCTTCCAACACTCCTCTTCCAACACCCCTCCATCCAACACTCCTTCTTCTGACTCCCACCACTACCAGCACTCACCCCTCAAAAAAGAGGCCATTCCCGAGAGGGGAAAAATATGTCAAGTAGACAGGCAGGCTATGAAGCGGGCCTTTCCTCGCAGAAAAAAAAGAATGGTGGAATGAATTGAGGAAATTGCAGAAGTTTTGCGCCGGAAGGGTCCCTGTTTTTCTCCATCCCACATTATACAGGGCTCTAAAGTTAACATATCCCACGGACGTCGGAAGCATTGTCCTAGATGTTCGCATGACGATATTGATAGGGACAGGGAGCCTGGGACAATCCGTCAGGGTCCTTACTGTCGCAGATTTCCGTCCAGTCTGTGATTAAGGGAACCTAACTCCTGTTCTTCAGCGTAGATGTATCTGCGATCCAGGAGACACACTTTGTTTGCGAAGTTGATGCGCGTGTGCTGTCTAGCGACTTTGTTGTCTATTCAGCATACGGGGACAAACAGGCCAAAGGTGTTTCTTTGCTGGTTAAAAGTACCCTGGGTGCGAGGTTGGATTTTGTCTACGTCGATGCTGGGGGCTGGTTGATCGTAGCTGATATTGCCGTGAACAATAGTTCGTTTCGGGTCGTTGCGGTTTATGAGCCCATCGACCAGACGGAGCGTCGCTCGTTTTATCGGCAGTTAGATTTATTAGATTGTCCCACGTTCCACTGGTTAGGCTATTCGGACCATAGACTCATCTGTGCCCGGATAGCATTAGATGCTAGGCTTAAAATGACTGGGCACTGGAAGTTCAATTTGTCTTTACTGGACAGCAACAACTAATTAAACTAGTGCAGCGGGAACTAGTGGGGGTGGTTATTGTAAATAGGTAGTGGGAGAGGCTTAAGGATAGGATTAGGTCCTTCACCACCGAATATAGCCAACGGATCGCACTAGATAAGGCTAATAACGTGAATACACTTAAAGATAGTCTTCCCTGGCGGAGGCTGGGGGGGGGATCTCCTAGAGATAAGTTTAGCTAGACAGGTTCTTGAGCGATCGACTAGCGAGCGTTACAAGAGTCATGTAGTTAAGCATCGGTTAAACAAGACGTCTAACGAAGCTGTGAACATGCGCGCAGAAATGCGCAAGGAAGAGATCTGTCGACGTTCCGACGTTACATTCGTGAGGTCAAAACCCCAGAGGGGCGTACTCTGAGGTCGACCGATGATGCGAGGCGTTTCGGCGGCATTTCGCGAGCCGATTTACCAAGGAGCCTGGTCTCAGTGGCGATGAGTTTCGCAGCTATTTGGCTGACTTTCCTCGTTTTGCGCCAACTGAAGCGGCTAGCTGCCAGGGTGAGTTCACGGAAGGCGGTATTGAAGAGAGTCGGCAGAGGCAAGTCTCCGGGACTTGATGGTTGACCCTATGAAATGTACTTGAGGTTGTCGCACATCTTTGTGCCGATTTTGACAGTGGTGTCCAAAAACCAACTTTTGACTGTTGAGACTCAAACAATTCAGTTCACTATGTGACCAATTCACAGGGTCACCCGACAACCACTCAGGCCCAAATATCCAAAACTGAAACTGCGATTCAAATTTTAGTGAAATGCCCCCAATGATCATATCAGCGGGATTGTCAGCCGATGGGACATATCTGAAGTTCAGATCATAACCCTGGTCTTTTAGCCTTTCCACTGCTCCACGAATGTTTTTCAACCTGTTTCTAATAAACAAACTTTTCATTTTTGAACCATCCGATAACACCCAAGACAGCACTATTTGAGCGTCTACGATCACGGTAACGCTCTTCACAACGTTTACCGGTAAGAGCTTCAAAAGGTTAGGGACCGTTCTGATGGCAAGAAAAACGACTAATAATTCTAGAGACGGCAAAGTTCTTTTCTCTAATGGTGCTACCTTTGCTTTAGCAAACATCAACCTGGCAGACGCATTCTGTCTTGTATAGGCTGCAAATCCATATGTCTTCTGAGATACATCACAAAACACCAACAAACTGGCAGGACCAGAAATATCCAAAACAAATCTGGGGAACCTTAAACGTTCCAACTGTACCAGGTCCACAAACAATTTACTCCAGGCCACCTGAAGTTCATTAGGAATCGTCTCATCCCAGGTCAACTTTAGCCTCCATAAGTCACTGATAAATATTCTCCCATTGATAGTGACAGGCAGACATAATGATAACGGGTCAAAAACACTGGAATTCTGTGATGGGACACCTCTCTTAGTTACGGCTGCAACTTCAGGAGACTTACCCGCTATATGTAACTCATCCTTGTCTGGGTCATAATAATAACCTAAAACTTTCTCAAATGGAGAGTCATGAGTAACAAAATTGCCATCAGACTTCATTCTAACCCTCAAGATATCACAGTTTGAGTTGCAGGACCAGAGGAAGAAGTTACCCTCCTTTATGATGTCGACAGCATCCTGATACAAACTCAATAAAACAGTTGGAGAACTGTGGGTCTTTATGAGGTTGTCCACATCAAAATGGCCCAGCAGCAGGTCCCTGCATAAACTCTCAGGGTACCTCTCAACTGAGGATTCAGAAAAACAGTCCAAAGGATCCACATACATGGACTTGGACCCTAACACATAATATACATGAGTCACAGGACACTCTGAATAATTGGCTACTATCTGAGTATAATGAGAGTCACAAGCTCTATTTTCCTGAGTAACAGTCTCAGGCGCCAAAAAGTCTGTAACATTCCCAAAAGGTACCAATCCCTGAGGGAACCTACACGCAGAGCCATTCATAAAACTTGGCAACTGCATGGGGCCTAAAAATTTGAGCAAATCCACACCTAACAACCCTTGCACAGAGAACAAATCATCCTGGACACTTGAAAAGTCCACGGCCAATTTATAACCACTGGCTTGTAAACTGTTTACCGCTGCGCTAAGTCCCACCACATGAAAATCCAGGTCTAACTTTTCATCCACCAGAAAGGGAATCGATTTCTTTCCATTAAGAAGTTTGACGTCCAACAATACTTCACTTAATACTTTCTGCGACGAATCCAAAAAGGTTAAATTTTCTTTTAGCTGTTTGAACAGGTCTATCATTCCAGGTCCTCAATACACTACTTGAAAGGTAAGACCGTTGACTGTCAGTGTCTACCAAACGATTTATCTTTTTCTTAGTCTTGCCCTGCCCGATTACAATCTCAAACACGGGTAGTAATAAATCTCTGTCCTTTTCAAAACAAGGACTTACAGTCACTTGCTTCTTATCAACAGTAGGACACAAAGCGCCGCAATGAAACAGGCTCTTGCAACCCCAACAAGGTTTAAACTGACTTTGTACGTAAGTGCACTGCTCGGCAGAATGTGAAGGACTAGTGCATTTGGTGCATAAATTAGCTGATTGTACACACTCAAGCGGTCCTTTAACGTAGGATATTTCCTACAAGAATATCCAGTATGAGCGTTGGAACGACAAAAATTGCACCTGAACTTCTCGGGGGCAGCTTTAACTAAGAAATTTTCCAGGGTTGAGGGCTTTCTATCATCTGAAAGTACCTTAACCTTGTTCGAACTAAGGGCTCTCTGCTTATAAACATTTTTATCAGGACTAGCTATTTTGGGCTTAGTAATTTCTAATGTTTGGATAGCATCTAAATATACGGAAAATAACTCCTCCAATTCAGGGTAATTATTTCCCACCCGGTTGATAACTTCACGCCGAAACGACACCGGCAGTTTACTGAACACTACACGACTCACAAACTTGCTACCTGGAGAACCTTTCTCCAGGAAATCCAAGGAAAAGGAATTCATCAACTTATGAAGCTGTGTCTTAATGTTGGTGAGAAATGATCTGACGTTATCCCACTCTTGGTCTTTCACCACTCTGGAGTTAGACATGGATAGAAATATTTGATCCATTATACGTTCCCTATCAAGGAACACCCTATTCAATATATCTAAGTCTTAGTTTTCGTCCGAGATGGTTAGGTGGTTAATGAGCTTTGAGAGCATGGCCTCTGAGATGATGTCTGAGAATAATCAACCTCAGGCTTCTATTATCTATGCTCAAAATACAGTTTTCAAACTCTTTAAAAAAGTTCAGATAGGCCAATTTGTCTTTCTCTAAACTTTCTGGGTCGAAAACAGGGCACTCCAGCTTGGGAGTTACCTTGTAATGAGCCACACTGAAATTATCCTAAGGCTTAGCCAGCCAAGCTCGGCCTTCACCATTACACCTCTTTCTTATACTTTCTTATATCAGTTTCAACCACGAACTAGGTTTCTACTCTATGAAAATCTTTCAACATTTCTTCCCTATGTTCGTCTTCAAAGGCATTGCTAATTTGCTCATTAAACATTTCTACTGTACTGAGCTTGCTTTCAATCTTAGCCTTTGTTGCAGATTGGCGAATGCATGCTGATTTATCAGAAGGATTATTTATGTGCGTGTTCTAAAACATTCATCCACAACAATTAAAGAGAGAGAAAGAGCATTGAAGACAAAACATGCAAGATGGATCAAAGTAAAACAAAGATTGTTAAAGGCATAAAAATAACATCAATTTATGTACAATTTACATATACATATACTTTGGATATATTTGTGTAATTGAGGATAGCTAAGTTAATTTATGAAGAGTGTTTTTGTGGAGTTTGAAAGTGTGTAAAGTTTTTGTTGAGATTTGTGCACGAAATTAAATTAAGTAATTAAACGTAAATAAAAATGTCTCCTGTGCGAGTTCAGTCCTTAGTGTTTGTGCGTAGATTATCTTGCATTAATGTTCAGAGTTGGTAGGATTTGCGTACCTTTAGTTGTGTTAGAAGTGCGTTTATTAATTACAAATACTTGTTTGGTAGTAAGTATATATTACTTTCTGAAGTATTGTAAATGATTGTTTGAAATTATTCCTGAGAGAGCATGATTGTTATTTGCTGAGTCAGAGAAGTTTTCTTTGTTTTGCGCGGTAAAAGTTATTTGGTCAAGGTTTTGACTTGTTTGTCATCTCTTCAGGAGTGAAAATCTGTCTGTTTGAGTCAATTTGGATTTTCCTTTATATAGATTTCGGGCAAATAAAACGGGCTCCATGCTGTTGGGCGCGAAAAGACATTTTCACGTGAACTTCTTATAGTTCCAAGGGTCTGGATTGGTTGTTATGTTACTTGGTGCAAAGTGAATTATACCGGAGGGGTGAAAGATTAGTATGGATTATTCCAATAACTTCGGTAACAAAAGGACCTCTTCATTAATATCATCTCGGGAGTCGATGCTCAGAATAAATGACTTAATTTTATCCTTAATTATGTCTCTCTTGCGAATGAGCAAACTAGTAGTGGGGGTGACTGACATGTTCGTAGCTTTAAAGGAGAAACTTACTGGTAAAATAAAAATTAAACATTAAATAAATTTTTCCTGTATGAAAAAAAAAAATTCAACCTCACAAGATGGCGGCTAAAATTTCAAAACGAACAAGACAAGATGGCCGCCAATAAGGCGGGAAAATTCAAAAAGTAACGAACAACTCAAAATAGTCGCCACGTGGTTAAAAAAAATTCTGACCGGGAGAGAAAGAAAAAATAAAAGGCAGGAAGAAAAAAAGTAAAAAAAAAAAAATTATAGTGTAAGGGAGATAAATCTGCAAGGCCCTTGAAAATTAAAAACCTTAATCTACATAACTTAAAAGTAAACAATAACAAATTCGCAAGCAAAATTACTGTTTGAATTTTGCAAAGCAGAATTTGCCGAGTTCGAATTTTTGCAAAGTTTCGGAAATTTTCTTTTCTTTCAGAAAATAAAACATGCAATATTTTCTCTATTGTATCTTCTATTAATTAATAACAAAAAAAAAAGAAAAAAAAATGCAAATCAGATTCAATTACAAAGAAAAATTATTTATTTCTTACCAGCTAAATAAGGGTTCTTGCAAAAATTCGTCCCTTTTTGCTGAGAATAGGACAATGTAAAAAAAACGTAGCAGAAAATAAACTTAAAAATTACAATGCACAAAAAAAAAAGAATTGCGCCCACGTGCTGTGTCAATGATAACAATAAAAAAAAAAGAGGAGGAAGAGCTTTAGGTCTTCAGTAGACTTTCAGTCCTTTCAAGGTTCAAAAGTTTTTATCCTTTTTCGTTTCTCTCTTGTGTAGACAAAGTTCTCTTCCTGGTGACCAACTCCCTTCTTTCTTCACTTATTTTCTTCCCGTCCGCCTGGAAATTACGCTTTTCTTTTACGGTCGCTAGAAGGTGGAAATCTACATAAACACGTGGCAAAATAGTTTTTGAAAACGCACGTGTTCGCTCCTTCGTCTTCTCAAATGGCTTTGTCTCCAAACTCCACTTACGGACTTCTTTTCAACTTTCTTTTCTGGGGCTTCTTCAAGAGGACTTCTCAAACCTTTCTCTGAAGAGGAAACTTGCCCTCAGCAACTTGTTACCCATGCATCCTTACTTATGGGCAAACGCTGCCTGTATTTTCAGCAGGGAGAGAGAAAACGAACCTCTTCTCTCTAAGCTGTCTCGTTTCCAACTGCTGCTAAGGTCCAGTCACAGTTTTCCATTCCCTTTCAAAGGGGGGCGGTTCACCTTTGAACCCTCCGATCACAGTCCATTAAAAAAAAATATCAGCAGGTTCTTAGGGCCAGTAACACAGTGAGTGTCTTTTGTTCTCCCTGACCTAAACATTTTCAAAAATGCCATAATCAACACCCATCCGAATTTTTTTTCCACTGACCCCAAAAAGCTACTTGAAATACTAGAGGCGTTAGTCACACAGCAATCAAATCCTATGATCTACCGCATCACCTTTGCATCCATGTTACAAGGCAAAAACGAACCTGTACAGCAGTACCTTGTTCGCCTTAGGGCTACAGCCCTTGACTGCAATTTTGTATGTCCCTCTTGTGAATACGATCTGTCCAATGTATATATCAAGGATCAACTAATCAGAGGCATAGTGAATGATGCGCTCCAAACAGATTTGCTAGCCAAAGCCGGAGTACTGAAATCTGTCATGCCGAGGCATTTGAATTGTCACTACGGGATCAGACCACAATGACCAATACTTCTGACATGGCTGCTGTTCGGATGTCAAAACACAGACAAAAAAAACAATATCCGTGCTAATACCTTGTACCGTGACAACATTGTCAGTGTGCCAAAACCCTACCAAGCTTGCAGAGGGTGTGTTAGCCACCAACATGGCATTCCGGGAAGAAGCTCCCGCCAGCTAGCATGTCCAGCATGGGGTCAAACATGCACCACTTGTAGAAAGTCTAACCATTTTGCGAGATTGTGCCTAGCAAAAAAGGTAAAAAAATAAGGCCACTGTAAAAAGCAGAGAATCTGATGAAGTCGTAACCCATATTATATTCAACCAAAAAATGGGCACATTTGCTTCTATAAACGAAAGCCAAATAGTTGAAATAAATGCGTCGGCAATCCTGTTTTCACCTAATCCGGACCCACAGACAAACTAGAAACATCTCTGATATGAAGAGCACTACACTTAAGGTCTTCCCTGACAGTGGAGCATCCATATGTCTTGGGGGACCAATACATTTATTAAAGATGGGACTCACGAACCACAACCTGATCCCATCAGAGAAAATAGTTTGCACCATGGGAGACTTCACTCTCGTTTGTCATGTTTGGCTGCCAGTTAAATTTATCATTGGAGGGAAAATTACCAAACAAGCTCTCTATATATGTGAACAAATTGAGTGGCTTTATTTTGGCAAGGAAGCATGCATTGATGTAGGAAAATTACATGAAAATTTCCCAAGCAATTTTGCCACATTATCAAGCAAAGCTGACATTGTCATGCAATATATCCACCGTCAGACATACCCATGAAAAATTAAACTACGACCCTAAATCTGACGGAAGTGGGGATCAGCTGCCAAATCGCCTAAAGAAACTCCTCTTTCCAGCGACAGAAAAAAAAAAACATAAGCAAACTTAAGGATTGGCTCCTAAAGCAGTTTGCTAATACAGCTTTCAAATGCGATGGAGTGTTCCCATCTATGTCTAGTCCCGCCGCCCACATACACCTAAAAGAAGGCACAATCCCTAAATCCAGACACAGCCCAATTCCTGTATCTTTCCATTTCAAGAAACCAGTAAAACATGCCCTTTGGAAGGACGTAGAAAGAGGCATAATAGCACCAGTATCTATTGGCATGGTGTAGCACAATAGTCATTACAGCTAAAAAAAATGGTAAACCACACAGAACTGTAGATTACCAACACCTGAATTCCCAATGTAAATGGGAGACACATCATACTGGGTCACCGTTCCAATTGGCACTTCAGGTACCACCTAAAAACAAAGAAAAACTGTGTTAGACACTGTTGATGGGTACCACTCAATATCATTAGACAAAGAATCCCATCCACTTACCACTTTCATTATGGACCGGGTAGATTGATGTACCTCAGGATGCCTCAAGGCTATCTTGGATCTGGAGACGCATATACATGCAAATATGATGAGATAATAAATCAAAATCATGGACGACACACTATTATACGACTCCAACATCACTGAAGCATTCTATGACACATTCAAATTTTGCTTCACTGTGCTAAGAACGGAATCGTTCTCAACACTGACAAATTCCAATTTTGTCAGGATGTAGTACAGTTTGGAGGCCTCCAAATAACTCCCTCTGGAGTAACTCCTTGTCAATCAAGTAGCTTGGGCATACTCATTAGGTCCAATCATGCTACCTTTTCACAATCTCACATTTTACATGGAACAAAGGACGTAATGATCCCCAATAAAAGGAATTGATAAATGCAGTACAGCACAGATTCCCAAAAATGTGCCATCTCAACACACCTGTACTCCACGAATACTGGGAAGTAAGACACCACCTTACCAATGACAATGGCTTAGTGTTATTGGATAGAAGTATAGTGATTCCAACCTCTCACCAGAAAAAATATTGCTTAGCTTGCATTCAGCACACCAGGGTGTGGTTGGCATGAAAGCCTGTACCAATGAGTCCATCTACTGGCCTGGAATGAATGCTGCAATCCATAATGTTAGAGCCAATTGCATGGTATGCTCACATATTGCCCCTAGTCAACCACGAGAAGCAATCACTCTCACATGATCACCAGATTGGCTATTTCAGCAAATAGCCATGGATCTATTCTATGTCAGCAGTACCTTGTCTGTGCAGATAGGTTAATTGGATGGCTCATCCTTTATCATTTAAGCCATGGACACACAGATGCCTTGAGAATAATTTTAATTTGTCGAGATATATTCCAGACCTATGGTGCTCCAGAGGAACTCAGCACTGATGGTGGTCCACCTTTCAAATCACTACCATTCCAACAATTCCTGAATGACTGGGCGATAAAACACAGACTATCATCCGTTGCCTATCCTCAATCCAATGGCCAAGCAGAGCTGGCTGTCAAATCTGCCAAAAGATAGTACATAGTAACACAGGAGCTCAAAGATCCCTGAATAATAACAGAGCAGCACGGACTATCCTTCAATATAGGAACACGCCCATCCAGACCATTGGGCTAACCCCAGCACAACTTCTACTCCACCATCGGCTACGGGATTTTATACCATCCCAACCCATGCTATATAAGCCGCATGTGAAATGGATAGCTGCAGCTCAAAATTGCGAGGAAAGCCTATCTCAAGCCCATCTTATAGAAAGGTACAACTGTATGGCCCATACCCTGGTTCCGCTTCAGAAAGAAGACATAGTATCAATACAATGTCCAACCAATCACCGGTGGGACACAACAGGCAGAGTTGTCGAGACACTACCTAATCGTCAATATCGAATCAGAGTGGATGGATCAGGTAGAATCACCTTGTGGAACCGCCAATTTCTCAGGAAGCTTCAAACACCTGCAGTCCCTACTCCCATCCCTAGTGCTTTACCTGAGCCCCCTGAGTCAAGGGTCGGGGATGCCCAGGAGCCCAATACGTATGTCCCACATGCCAAAGAAAATGAAACAACATCACCCAGCATTGCCCAGCCACAAAAAATTGCCCAGAAAGAACTCATTTCCCCTCAAAGCCATTACCCTCACACAATGCGGGGGAGGGAAATAAACAATCAAGAGTGTGAGACTCACCTTTGCAAGGAGGTTTCCAACTAGCGTCCAGTTAGCTGACACAAAATAAACAGGGTTGAAACTCAATATATTTCCATCTCTTGAATAGTCATAGTATGCTGCATATTTATTAAGTACAATATCCTCACTGGATTCATCAGCCAATCGGAACTTACAGGATAAACTTGCCTGGGTAATAGAATGGAATTTCCCAGCCTGTTATATACACCACCTACCAATTTGTCCAGCAGATTATCTTGGTCAGTCAAAGTCAACTTCTATTACAGTTGAGTACTGTCTGTTGCTATTACCAAATTCTACACACACAATAATGACCTTCCTGTTCCATTATCACCAGAGAATGACCTTTAAATGTCTAACGTAGAAACTAAAAGGTAACCAAAAAAGTTCTGTCCGTTTTTTGATTAGTCATTGAATGAATTTGAAATATATACGAAATGCGTGTAGCAATTGTTTTCAAATTCAAACAGCCGGAAGCAGGAACATCAGACGTTATAAAAAACACGTGCACCGTACCTGGCCATCAGTTATAAGACAGACAGCTGTGAGAAGGATGGAATTGTCTAGAGATCTCGTTTGGGGCTGTTTGCTTTACGACTTCAAAGTGGGCTTATCAGCAGCTGCATGAAGCCGCCGCATATGTCAAGCGTTTGGGGATAGTGCTGTGGATGAACGTACTACAAGGCGTTGGTTTTGAAAATTCAAGTCGGGAGATTTGTCTCTCCATGATGAGCCTTGCAGTGGATGACCAGAGGTCTTGAATGACAGAGTCCTGAAGGCGGCCATTGAAGAGGACGGTAGTCTAACGTGTGGTGAACTTGCAAGACAGTTCAACGTTTCCGATGAAACAGTTAGACTTCACCTGCACTGCCTAGGTAAGACGTACAAACTGAGCAAGTTGGTTCCGCAAATTCTGTTGGAGGTCCACAAGGGACAATGATATGGAGAACTTGGAGAGGGGAATTAACAGGAGATAACTAATAACTGACATCCATTAGACATGGCACATGGAACTAGAATGGTTTGCCCCAGCGAGCAAAATAAAGGGTTCAGTTTGACATTCCAACCACCTGAAGAAGGCTGGAGCATACAACAGCCAAAATGTTGTGATAAATATGGCGACAAAGATGAGGACAATAGTCCGAATAA